TCTCTCTCTCTCTCTCTCTCTCTCTCTCTGACTCGTTCTTTCTCATCCCCCTTGAAGAGGGGCGAAACTCTAGGGGGAGAGAGATAAGGGAAAAAAAAAAGATAACCCAGAGCCAAATATTGCTCGAGGGTTTTAGAGCTTTTTTAAGGGTACGAAGATCTGAAGAGAAAAAATGGAGGTTTTTTTTTTTCTTTTGAGGGGAATGTTGTCTGGCTCGAGGACAATTCTTTTGATCCATTTTTAATTCTCTTTGATTTTATTTTTTCGGTTATAATTTGGTTCATTATTGTCGTCGGACCAGGCTTCATTCCCCCCAATTGCTTGTCTCCATTCCTGATCCACTCTCTCAAATGCTGCTGGTTTTCCGATCAAACAAGGTTTAATCTTTCCCTTCCTTTTAGTTCATTCCCCATTTTGGCTTTGTGGGTTCTTGATATAATTTAATGCTCTCGCTGTTAAATCACCAGGTGTTGATCTTTCTTTTTTGGTATTTACAGCAATTAATTGTGTTAAGATTGTGTTAGTTATGTTGAGTGGAGATCTGAGGGCTATAATGATGGAGTTATTTGACTGTTCTTCTTCTTCCTCTTTTCTTTTTTTTTCCTTTTTTTTTTTTAATCTTTTTCTAATTGAGCTATGATGGTGTTTTGTTGTCAGTCTATACCCTTTCTCTCTACAATTATTACACAGATTTCCCTCATGATGGCTTTGAGTATCCCATCTGTCTCTTTCTGCCATTTTCTCAGATCTCTCCTCTTAAAATTTCCCCAACATTGTCTCACCATTTCTCACTTTTTTTTTCCCTCTCTCTTTCTCTCTCTGATTTCTCTTCTTTCAGCTTCTTCTTCTACTCTTGCTTGATGTTTGGCCCCAACATTATATTTTTTCTAAACAAAATGTCTTTCTTTGAACTCTCTTATTTAACCCATATTTTTGTCTTCCATTTGGGTTTTCACAGTACAAATGCAAAGATTATTCATCTCTTTTTCCGCCCCACACTTACATTTTAACTTAACAACATGAACTCCACATTATTAACTTGTGTTTCTTTTGTGTTTCAATCTCTGTTTGTTTGCTCCTTTCCCGCTTAGTGTTATCCTTTACTAGATAAGATTGATTTTCTCATCTAATTGCCAACTGCTATAAGCTAAGTTCCACTTCTCTTTTGAGGGTTATTTATACACATTACATTCAAGCAAAATATTAGAAGGTAACTTTTGCATTTTTGCAAGGGAAAAAAGAATCGCATTTGACGAAATAGCTGAAACTTGAATTTATTATTTCTTGACCTTATTCGCTACTCATTTTATCATCATTTTTGTGTGCTTACCAGTTCTTCGCCGCTCTGTGTTTTGACCATATAAAGAGGTTGCTAGAGAGAGGAAGAGAGTCCAAATGTTTTAACTTTGAAGTTTTAATCCAGGTTCCTCAAGTCTAAGCTTCTTATATTATACTTTCTTTTTGGGATTTTAAGAAGTAATGCATTAGGAAGCAAGATTATTATTATCCTTTTCATTGCTTACAGAAGAAAAAAATCATTTTGTTGATTCAAACTTCTTTCTTTTAAAGTGAAGTGCTGAAAAGAAGAGTAAAAAGTAAATGCTGTCCGATTAAAGAAGTAAATGCCTCTTTTTGACTCTTATTTAGGTATCTAACTTTTAATGGCATTGTTTGATCCCCACACGCATACATAAAGCCTTTGCTTTCTTTAAAAAAAATGAAATGATTAACCCACAAATCATGCATTGTTGAGTGCGAGCCACATCGATGGTCCAAAAATTAAAAAGTTATCTGGTTTATGTGTTTTTTTTTTTATCTGAAAGAAAGCAAAGACTTGACTTGCCAAACGATGAACGGTTTGAAGCTTTTTATAGCTTTGTCTCTTGATATCATATAAATCTCCGAAGCCTTTTAGGAGACTGATCGAAGAAGACTATTCTCCATTGGATACATGTAATTTCAACGACGACCCAGCCAGGTAAATCATCATAAAATTATGTTTTTTTGGCACTGATTTGATTTGTGGTTGGAATCCATGGATGAACATGAAGCATGCAGTTTGAATTTGAAAAACGGCATTTTGGTTCATATATTTTGCTGGATTTTATTTTATGGTTTTTAATGACTGGAAAGAGACAGACATTAGTTGTTGACTTTCAATTGGTTGGTTGGTTGGTTTTTTTTTTTTTTTTTTTTTTTTTTTT